TAGAGGTGTTACAAGAGAGTAGTTTTAGTAGAGGTTTTACGACACTCGCAACTGCATAAGGTCATATGAGCGCCAGAAGACTAGAGGTGTTACAAGAGAGTAGTTTTAGTAGAGGTTTTACGACACTCGCAACTGCATAAGGTCATATGAGCGCCAGAAGACTAGAGGTGTTACAAGAGAGTAGTTTTAGTAGAGGTTTTACGACACTCACAACTGCATAAGGTCATATGAGCGCCAGAAGATTACAAATGTTACAAGAAAGTAACAAACACAAAAAAAGAAGGAGGGGAGATAAGGACGATAGATGTTTGATAGGAAAAAAGAAGCAAACCACACCAGAGCACCCGCCAACCACCCCCGGACTTATGTATGGTGTCATTAAGTGAGAATATTATTATAATAGTGGACTTTAAGCTTAAGTCTAAAAAAGTGAAAGTTTTTGTTTTAGTAAGAGTTTTACGGCACTTGCAACACAATAAGGTCATATAAGTGCCGAAGATTAGAGGTGTTTCAAGAGAGTAACAAACATAAACAAGAAGGAGGGGAGATAAACACGATATATGTTTGACAGGAAAGAAGAAGTAAACCACACCAGAGCACCCGCCAACCACCCACCTGTCGATGCTAAGAGTGACAGAGTTTTGTTCGTTTATTTGAATAAAGAGAAGCAAATCGACACATTTAATGGTCCTTCAGTGCTAGGAAAAAGTAAGACAGAAAGACAGACAGACAGAAACAACAGAGGGGAAAGTGAAGAAAAAGGAACTACCAGTGGCGCCCTCGAACCACCCACAAGAGTGACAGAGTGACAGCTATTGTAATGTTATAATGTGCCAATCCCAGGAGTGACAGTGAAAGCTATTGGCACAACAGGTTGAGGAATAGAAGGACACAGTGACAACTGTTGTTATCATGGAACAACGCCAGGAGTGCCAAGAGAAAAACTAAGCGATAATTATTGTTGTAAGCTGAATAACCAGTTCATGCAGGTGGTGTTGGAGTGGCGGAGTGACAGAGTGACATAGAATAGTGACATAGTGACCCACTGAGTGGCAATGACACAGTGATATCAGTAGCCCACAGAATGACACAGTGACATAGTAACTCATTAAGTGACACAGTAATCCATGGAGTGACGACAGAGTGACGCAGTGGCTCACCAAGTGACAGTGACAGTGATATTTGTAACCCACTGAGTGACACAGTGACATTAGTAACCCACCAAGTGACAGAGCGACACCGGGACATGGTAGACCACTGAGTGACACAGGGACATAATTAGTGACAGAGTGACACAGTAAAAACCCTCTGAGTGAGAAGAGTGACATTAATTAGTGACCAACCAAAAGTGACAGAGTGACACAGTGACATGGTAAACCCACCAAAAGTGACAGGGTGACAGAGTGATATCAATTTTAGTGACCCACCAAAAGTGACAGAATGACACAGTGACATGGTAAACCCACTAAAAGTGACAGAGTGGCACAGTGACATGGTAAACCCTCCAAAAGTGACAGAGTGGCACAGTGACATGGTAAACCCTCCAAAAGTGACAGACTGACACAGTGTCAAGGTGCAGAGAAGAAAAAACAAAAAGCAAGATAGACCCACAAAAAGAGCTGGTAAACCCAGCAAGAGTGACAGATTGACATAGTGGCATTAGTGACAAACCAAAAGTGACAGAGTGACATGGTAAACCCTCCAATAGTGACAGAGAGTGACACAGTGACATGGTAAACCCCCCAAAAGTGAGAGAGAGTGGCACAGTGACATGGTAAACCCTCCAAAAGTGACAGATTGACACAGTGATATTAGTGACAAACCAAAAGTGACAGAGTGACATAGTAAACCCTCCAAAAGTGACAGAGAGTGACACAGTGACATGGTAAACCCTCCAA